CAATTCAGTCGAGGGTCAAGCGAGTCAAAGAGACGAGCGTTACTTGTAATTAATAGCAGAAATCCAGAACGATTTCATACTCTAAAAAAACGTGTTCTAACTCGTTGGAATACGATTTTAATTATGCTTCGTTCGTATATTAACAACATATCTGGTATTGAAATTATATTACATCGATTAAAACATTTTGATTTAATACTATCAGCTGCAGAAAATCAAATGGTTTATGATTTAGTTGAATTTCTTGGTTTACTTGAATCGACAACAACAATACTATCTGCATCAAAATCTTATACAACGATGAACTTATACTTATTATTACGAATGATAAGTTCTAAAAATTGAATGATTAATTATTCTGAATGAAAACTAACCAGAAATGAGAATTCTTCCTCAATTATTAAATTTAAATACATGAAACCCGTTTTCAAAATTTTTTGAAATAAAAAACTAATTTTCACTATAAAACTATTGTTGCTTGTAGTTGAAAAGATATTGTTAATTAATTAATGTTTATTTTAGGAAATAGAATCTATGTTGAACATTACTGACATGGAATCACCAGTTATTCGAGAATTAAAAATTTTGCTTTTTGAAAATATGAACAAGAGATTTCCGGTGCTTCCATTAAATATTTGTGGTTTTTTACTTGATCCATCACAACTCAAAATTGATATTACTCGCTATCTAACTTCAAATCAAACAACAAAAGAATTAATATTATTAGAAATGATTAAAAAATTTAAAATTCATCTCGTTCCACAAGCATTTACAACAACAGAAAATATTTCGACGCGTACATCATCTTCACATTCAACAGCATCTACAACAACATCATCTTATATTATGAAACGTAGTTTATCAGTCGAAAATTTGAGCGAACCAGTTCAAAATTTGAAAAGACTACGTGAAAATTTAATTCAAAAACACACACCAAATTCAATACTCGTTGTTGATCCTATTGCAAATGAAATAGAGAAATATTTAAAACTTGATATTAATTGTGATGATGTACTTCAATTTTGGCGATTATCAGCAGACAATTTTCCTCATTTAAAAGTTCTTGCTCAAATTGTTCTTGCAATTCCAGTTACATCTACACCAAGCGAACAAATTTTTTCAACAACGGGTTTAATTCTCAATGCTAAAAGAACAATGTTATCTCCAGAGAATGTTGGTAAAATACAAATGATCCATGATAATTATAATATATTTAAACCGACTTAGCATCTTATTTATTTTTTGTATATTTTTCTAGTTATGTACTTTTTGATTTTCTATATTTCATTTATTGAACAGCTCAATATTACTTATGTACTTTATTTATTATATCTAGATGTCAAATAAAGTTTTTCCACATATTTATTTGAAAATACAAACGACTCGGTATTGAAATAGATGAATTTTTATTTTTTTCGTAATACTATAGTACTTTTTCTAAACCTCAAGCCGCCGCCGCCGAACGATGGAGGTGCTGAAGCCGCCGCCGTCGGTGGTAGAAAAAAAATAAATTTCAAGCCGCCGCCGCCGCCGTGCAGCCTCAGGAATTCAAATCTGCGCCGCCGAGCATTTTTAAAAAAATTTTAAAAATTGCCGCCGTCGCCGGTTAGTCACACAGCTTACACCTCTATCCACGAGAAAGTAATGCCAATTGTTCCGTTGTTAATTTTAAATCAACTCCAATAACAGGTGAGGATGGAAGAATATCCCAATATAAATTAAGATGATAGCTCCGACGATACCATTTTTGTCGACGATCATCGGAGCGATGGTAGAAAAAATGAAGACGTCGTTTTGTTGCATATTGCATATATTGTCGAATATGTTTTTGCCGTTGTTCAATAGCTTGGATAAATGGTTCGACGAAAAATTGTCGAAGTGAATCGTGGTTCATACGATTGATTAATTTGTTTTTCTCATCTTCACTATATTGATGATAACCACGTGTAGCTGATTCAGCCATACTAATATAAAGTGTCATTAGGTCAGATTTATTTTGTGCAATAATTTTTTTTATGACGTGTTGTAAGTGTTGTTCGAATGTTATCATTATAAATAGGTCTAGCTAATGTATGTTCGACATTTGAAAATAATTGATCAAGATAATCTAATGATTTAGGTATTCGTTTCATATAAAGATGTTGTTTTAAAATATTGACATTTTGTTGTGATTTACATTCATTAATAGTGGCTTGCCAAATAATTTGCATGGACATAATTTCATCTTGTGTTGGTTGACAATCATAACATGCTCTAACTAAAGAATAATCTTGAGCACTATTTTTCAAACGTGTTTTTCGATGTTCATAATATTGAGATAATTTCTTTTGACCTTTACGTACTAAAGCTAAAAGAACTGCCCATAAACGTTGTTCATCAATGTCTGAATTGGGTTGTTGAGAATTTTTCAATAACAAAGCATGTTTTTGTACTTCTTCAGCTTTTGCTTTTTTTTTTGTTTAATTTTTTTTATATATTTTTCCATTGACTTTTTTGATATGTTATAATCGAATTCTAATTTATTATCATTAATGATTGTTTTTGATAATGGTGATGCCAAACAATCGTATGTTTCACCATAAATTAAATAATTTTTCCATAACTCTTCTTCTAATTTTAAATAATATACTCGATCTGGTAAACGAGTATGTTCACGAACATAGTGAAAATTTTCTTTTGATTTACACCATTGTAAAATGTTGGGTGTGAGTGTGGGTGTGGGTGTGTAGTAGTTACCACGATAACTTGAAGTTATTTCGAATGTTTCTGTCTCAATCTTATCAAGTGGCCTAAGTATCAGTATAAGAGATCAAAACTTAATAATAAGTTTAAATCAATACATAACATTTTTAAGTTCTGCTTTTAGTCGTAAAGTAGAGAGCACCTACAATAAAGTGTTCAGCTGGTGTAGGTGGGTGTGGGTGTGTAATAGTTACCACGATAACCATAGTTATTTCGATATTTCTGACTCAATCTTATCAAGTGGGCTAAGTATCAGTAGAATAGATCCGAAAGACTAATAAAAGTTTTTTGAATCACTTCATAATACTTCTAATCTACTAAGTAATAAGTAGATACACCAACAATAATTTTAAAATACAGAATTGAAATTCAGAGCATCACACGATCCGGATTTCGACCTTGCTTAAGGGTCCTCCTCAGGCATGTTTAGAATTTCATAGTTACATGCAAGTCCTAAATCGCTTAACCTAGATTAAGGTATTTAAGGCTTAAACGTAATCAAATAAAGAAAGTAATAACTCAATATAATATTAATGCATAGAATTGAAATTCAGAGCATCACGCGACGCGTTTCGAGCTTGCTTAAGGAACCTCATCAGGTATGTGTATAGTTTGGAGAGACACTCAGTTTGTTCGGAGGTGTTGGATGGTATGATGGAGGCGGATTTGTATAAGCAGTTGTGTTCAGTTTTTCGTGTTTAGTGTGATGTATGATGTAAATGGACATATCTGATTTAATGGTATCGTGTTCTGTCATAGTAATTTCGAGAGGGTGTATATGTGTTGACATGGAACTATGATTTGGAGAACTCAGAGATCTATACGACACATGTTTCGTGCTTTCTCAAGAAACTCCATGGGTATCTGTAAAGTTCTATTATTACGTAAGTCTAAACCGTCCTAATGACTGAAGTAGTAAAGGCAAATTGTAATAAGTATGAAAACCTATTATAACTTAGATATAGAAGTATGATTTGGAGAACTCAGAAATCTATACGACACATGTTTCGTGCTTTCTCAAGGGGCTCAACATGTTTCTTTAGAGTTCTATTATTACATAAAATCATAAAATCGTTTTGAAGAAATTTTAGATTCAAAGCTTAACACGACACGTGTTTCGCCCTTGTTTGAGGCACTCTATGGGCATGTTTCCAACCTATAGTACATATACCTAGAACTTCCCAACTACTTAGGGTGTTGAAGATTAATTTGTCTGGAGCGGAATAGTAGGATTCAATTATATTTTTTCCTGAGTTAGTTGTAGAGTGAGAGATTTTAGCGCATGGTCTGCAGTATGAGTGTTGTTTTATTGTCCTTGTATTCTTCTTGTTGCTTTGTTTCCCATATTTTATCGAGGGACTTAATTATGATGGATGATTCAACTTTTAGTTAATGGTATCTATCTCTGCTTGAGAATGGTGAGTTTTGATTGTTGACTAGAAGAAATCGATGGAAACCTTCATTTGCCTCGCTCATTGGTTCGGCTTTTATCATTAGTGCTAGATTCTTGAGTTTATTTTGAACTACATAAGGTGAAGTCCGAAATGAAGAATCTATCTCTCTTGAATTTGATTTTAGATCCCTTAGAGTTGCTCGGTGACTTTTGTGTTTTTCATCAGCTCAGTATATCTTTGTTTTCAGTGTACGGTAGAATTTCATGTTACATTATGGGGTGTGGGTGTGGGTGTTGGTGGGTGCGGATGGGTGTGGGGTGTGGGTGGGTGTGGGTGCGGGTGGGTGTGGGTGCGGGTGGGTGTGGGTG